TACTGCACTAAACATGTACTGAAGGGAAAATAAAAGTACACATTTTTAAAACTACTTAGCAAAGTACAATTCCTGAGAAAAACTGCTCAATTACAGTAGTTAGAGTATTCGTAATTAGTTACTTTACACCACTGGCCACAGTTCAGTTCACGCAGTCAGTCCAGACGTGCAGTGACTGTTAGACAGAAAAGTGAGCAGAGTTGCATCTGAAAACATGAGAAGCAGTGCTCAGGAGTGATTCTGCCATGTTGCTTTTTGATTGGTCTTCCTGTCACATGAGTTTGAATGTTGCCAAGTCCATTAATCCTTCAATACTGACAAAATATTGTTGCACAATGATTTCCCTATTAAATTATTTATATGAATGAATGAACAGAAAATTTAGACTTACATTTCATAAAAGTTTATTTTAACACATAATAGAACTCCACTATTTTTTAAAATGTTCTACTTCTGTGTACTTTGCTCCGGTTTACTGTGAAAAATGCCCTTCAAACAAACTTGAACTGAGCTGTACAATTACAAAAATCTTGGATATTTAAAAAAAATGTGTAAAATTTGTAAGTATGAGGCAATAATTACAGTTTATTAAATCTAACAAATAACATCAACATTTATAATTGTAATACACTCAAAACTAACTTAGTGTAATCAATTGATTGTATAATACAGGTTTTTATTTTAGTGCAGATTTTTCTGGGATAGTGTTACAAACTCCTGATGTTGGTCTAGAGGAAAATGTGGTTTGACATTTAGTGTACAATTAAAATATGAATTCACATATACAGTGAATAAAGTATAAATACAGTGCATCAGGAAAGTGTTGATAGCGCTTCAGTTTTTCCACATTTGTTTATGTTACAGCCTTATTCCAAAATGGATTAAATTAATTGATTTCCTCAACATTCTACTCACAATACCCCATAATGACAATGTGAAAATAGAGTTTTTGAAATTGTTACAAATTTATTATAAATAAAAAGCTGAAAAAAATCAGATGTACATAAGTATTCACAACCTTTGGCGTGAAGCTCTAAACTGAGCTCAGGTACATTCTGTCTCCACTGATCATTCTTGAGATGTTTCAGCAGCTTCATTGGAGTTCACCTGTGCTCAACTCAGCTGATTGGACATGATCTGAAAAGGCGTACACCCGTCTATATAAGGGCCCAGGGTTGACGGTGCATGTCAAAGCACAAACCAAGCATGAAGACAAAGGAATTGTCTGTAGACCTCCAAGACAGGATTGTCTCTAAGCACAAGGCTGGGGAAGGTTACAGAATCATTTCTGCTGCTCTGAAAGTTCCAATGAGCACAGCGGCCTCCATCATCCGTAAGTGGAAGATATTTAAAACCACCAGGACTCCTCCTAAGCTTAGTGATCGGGGGAGAAGGGCCTTAGTCAGGGAGGTGATCAATAACCCGATGGTCACTCTGTCTGAGCTTCAGCGTTCTTCAGCGGAGGGAGGAGAACCTTACAGAAGGACAACCATCTGTGCAGCAATCCACCAATCAGGCTTGTATGGTAGAGTGGCCAGACTTAAGACACTCCCCGCCTGGAATTTGCCAAAAGGCATCTGAAGGACTCTCAGACCATCAGAAACTCAATTCTCTGGCCTGATGAGACTAAATTTAACTCTTTGGAGTGGCTTCACAACAACTCAGTGAATGACTTTGAGTGGCCCAGCCAGAGCCCAGACCTAAATCCAATTGAATATCTCTGGAGAGATCTGAAAATGGCTGTACACCGTTGCTTCCCATCCAACCTCATAGAGCTTGAGAGGTACTGCAAAGAGGAACTGGCAAAAATTCCCAAAGACAGATGTGCCAAACTTGTGGCATCATATTCAAAAAGACTTGAGGCTGTAATCGCTGCCAAAGCTGCATCAACAAAGTATTGAGCAAAGGCTGTGAATACTGATGTACATGTGATTTTACAGCTTTTTTATTTTTAATAAATTTGCAACAATTTCAAATATTCTTTTTTCACATTGTCATTATAGGGGATTGTGTGTAGAATGTTGAGGAAATCAATTAATTTAATCCATTGAGTAAGGCTGGAACATGAAAAATGTGGAAAAAGTATCAACACTTTCTGAATGCACTGTTTACTGATATCCACAAACAGGCTGATTCAGAGACTGATATTTGTCTCTTGCTGGTTTATTACTGCATTGTCATATTAATGAACAGGGATTAGATGCATTAATCGATGGTCTTTATTACAGTTTTTTTCAAATGCTAAAACACATTTTACAAATGTTTCCTCCATGTTCCCCAATGTCTAAACACAACACCCTTTTCTAAAGCTACACAACCACATCTTCTCACTTCAAAACTCAAACTTTCACACCAAAAGAGCAGCTCGAAGCATTCATAAATGTAAACACTACACACATCATTACACACTACAGCAAAACAATTGAAAACACAATGCTCAGTTTGTGAGAAGGTTCTTTGTTTTATAACTGCCAATGCGTATTTTTAGAAACTTTACAGTAACAGATCTTTTTAGATCTCTGCAGAGGATTAGGCATTTAGATTTGTGAGTTTCATATGAAGAGTATTAATGTATAGAAATAATGCATGTACATATCTGTAACACAACTCAATGCAAAAACAGAATCTATTGCACAACAACAGTACTCTTGAAAACATGATCAGGGTGTGAAGTTTTTTAATTTACTTTATGCACACCACAATCACAATCACAGCATCATGTCACTGAGCTGCATCGGGCCACATCACCTCATCCACCTCACCGGCTATATTGTCTTTTGCCAGGCACCACGAGAAAAACACCCGGGAATGGCAAACCTGCCTTGGAAGGCCTCCACTGGGATGTCAACACAGGCCAACTCTGTTGCCCTTTGGAGGTTCTCTCTAGTGTATGGTTGTCTGTCATAAATCTCCACAATGTGAATAACCCCTCTATAGGGTTCAGGAAAGGGGAGTAGGGTGGCAGAAAGACGTTTAATAAGTGGTTACTGTTGGTGATGAACCACTCTCTGATTTGGTTTCTTCTGTGGAAGTGGACATTGTCTAAATGATCACATGAATGTGATGTGCGGGCGCAGGATGGCGTTTTTGGTGGTCCAGGAGGCTGTCTCTTAGCTCCTCTAGGAAAGTGAGAAGACATTGGGTGTTGTAAGACTCAAGGACAGCATGCCGGTGGACAAGCCCCTCTGAACCCCTGGCAGCACTCTAAACTCTAAACTTGCTTTTATACATGTGCTCACAGCAATAGCAACAAGTGTCTTAAAGGGCACATAGTTTACCCCTTTTTTATGATTTAATATTAATGGTATGGTTCTTCTGAGTGTGCCAGTTTAGGTTCAGTTCAACAGACAGTTTCGATTTTTAATGTGTTTAAAAGTGTCATGTTGGGGGCGTTTACAGTTTGCTGTTTTAGAGGCGTGTTGCGTCACAGTTTCGGCTTCCCGCCCAACGTAACAAGGGGGCGGAGCCAAGAGCTCCTACGCTCTGTGTTTACAACAGACAGGCTGACATAGAGAGAGAGAAAGAAGCTAAGCTATGCTAGGATGAGCATTCAGCCATAAGTTACATGTTGGACACGGACACAGACCAAGCAGAGAATACAAAATCATTTGTGTCTTTGTATAGTCTCGGTGTAAAAGTGCTGAGCGTGTACACCGAGACTAATAACCACACACACTGAATTAACTTAAGCTCCGCTGCATTCGCGCCGACAGAAACCCACGCAGCGCCGAGCTGCTGATCCGAAGCTCACTGCGTGTAGCCTGACAAAAACCCACGCAGCGCTGAGTCACTGACCCGAAGCTTCACCGCGTACACGCCGACAGAAACCCGCGCCCAGAACTCCGAAATGCACGTCGCCACGCAAAAGGTACAAGCAATAATTCCGATTCCAGCGATAATGTGGAGAATACTGATCTTGTGTTGAGCCCAATGAGCTCTTCATAAAAAAATAGAGCATGGGTGTTCCTTTAGCGGTATCGCTTTGACTCATGCTGAAAATGGCGGACGTGCAACAAGAAACTGAGGATATGATCGTGACGCGAGGCTGTCAATCAATATTGGTGGGCGGGGGGACCGCACTCTTACATCAAGTTGCAGATGGTCTGAAAACCGATCCAATTGGCCCGCCGCTTTTTTGTTGTTAAATTGAAAATAAAAAAGGACTGGGTGTGTTTATATCAGCCCAAAATGACGGTCTATACACTATACTTGCACACATGTCTGTCTAAACAGCTTGAAAAGTAGATTTTTCACCATAGGTGCCCTTAAAATTTTGAGTCGTTGTGTGTAATGAATGATGCCTGCTGTGTTCATTGTGTTCTAATATTGCTGACTGTGGCAAGCATTTTGCATCACATGAGCTTTCGTTTGAGAATATGAGCAGAGTTCTTTAGCAACTTGTGTTTTAGCAAGGAAAAATGTCTTTATATTTATGAGAATGGAGGATTGTGTTTTGTGAATTGTGTCTTCATGTAAAGTGTGTTTGAGATATTGGAAAATGGTGTCTAGAATTAGTAAATGTGTTTAGACAACTGGTCATTTGGTTTAGAGGATTGGCTTTTGTGTTTTAGCATTTGAGAAAATCTGTATTATCATTGCTTTTGACATTATTATTATTATTAGCCAATTATTTTATACTTATTTCATTTTGTTTGTGCAAGTAAAACACTGTTTTACACAGGATTATGTAGCAGACATTATACAACTTCATAAATGCATTTATAAAAAATTAACTATTGATCTGTGATATTGGCCTTTCTCAATCTGGAGCTGATGTGCTGCTGATTTTAATATGAACAGAAATCAGCCAAATATGAATGCATTTCTACAATCACACTTCATTACAACTTATGAACACAAATGATGAATAAAATTCTAATGAATTATAAAGACTATGAATTTGATGAACATATTTTGCACATGGGTAACACTTTACAATATGGTTGCTTTAGTTAATGGTAATTACTAACATGAACAAACAATAAACAATACATTTATTACAGCATTTATTTGTGTTTGTTTATGTTAGTAACTCAGTGCATTAACTAATGTTAATAAGCAAGAATTTGGCTTTAAAAATCCATTTTTGTTAAGCTATGATTAATAAATGCTGCACAAGTATTGTTCATTCCTAGTTCAAGCAAGTTAATAAAGCCTTATTGTAAAGTGTAACGCTCACATGTACATATACAATATCTGCATCATCTACACTGTCAGATCACAGATCTTCACCTTTGCTAAATAAACATAGAATCCAGGATAGAGTGTGTGTGTGAATGTGGTGTGGAGTGTGTGTATGAGGCTCATTGTTGTGTCAGAGACGCTGTAGAAGGACAGAGTTCCTGCACTGTGATCCACATACACTCCTATTCTAGAGGAGCTGACGGAGGGTTTACGGAGATCAGTCTTTATATTATTATGCCAGAATGAGAAACTGTTATCAGAGCAGAACAAACTCCAGGACTGATCATTGTTTCCAAATCGACACTCATTACCTGAACCCTTCCTGCTGATGCTCTTATATGACACTGATAAATACACACTTGCACTGCTACACTCCAGCTCCCAGTAAGAGCGTCCACACACACTCTCTTTACATAAGACCTGAGAGAAACCATCAAATCTGTCTGGATGATCAGGATACGGCTGGTCTGAACCGTTTATTTCCACCGCTGTGTTTCCTTCAGACAGAACCAGCTTTTTATTCACTGTGTTTGGATCCAAAGTGAACTGTTGAGAATCTGAAGAAGATAAAAACAATCAGGTAAGATATCAATTTATGACTAACAATAATGAAATCATGACTGTATTATTATTGATCTTTAATTGATCATATTTAATAATGTCATTTAATCATCAAAACCAAAACAATGTAATACAACCTCAGTAAATGTCATTATTCAAATTTTATTTGCACTTTTGCATATTGAGAAACAATAACAATGAATGTTTTATATATACATAGCATGATTTCCAGAAGTCACCACTAATATATATATATATATATATATATGTATGTGTGTGTGTGTGTATATGTTTGTATGTATATATGTATATATATATATATATATATATATATATATATATATATATATATATATATATATGTATGTGTGTGTGTGTGTGTGTGTGTGTGTGTGTATATGTTTGTATGTATATATATATATATATATATATATATATATATATATATAAATTAGTGGTGGGTCGTTATCAGCTGCGTTAACATGAGACTCTTATCAGGCGATTAAACAAAATATCGCCCGATAATGATAATCTATTCTCAAAGTTGGGTTGGGTTGGGAGTCTATTCTACGCAAGCTATGATGACTTTCACCTTGATATTTTAGTGCGGATGTATACCTGACCGGTGAGCCGTCTGACAGAGAAGTGCCCTTCTGAACCAAATCAGCAGGATGCCCTTCTGGATCTTTCACTTACTTCGAAAACACTACTGACTACGCTTACATGGACATCATGGATCTTGTCGGAAAATATGGTGAAAAGTCCTACATGACGGTAATAGTTTGATTGCGGTGTTTGCTTCAATAACTCCACTAATATCTGCATACTCCACATCTTAATTCCATTTCTGTTTAGTTCTGTTACGACTTTAGGCGGATTAAGGTCATCAGTAATGGCTGTTTGGAGCTTATGTAGGTTCAACATTTATGTTTAACTGAATAAGCAGTGGGTAAACACAAGCACATCTTACTGAACATCATTTATTTTCATCACCAATTATCAGAGTAGAACAGTTTCTCAAGCAGTTTGTGATGCATTTTGGAAACAGGAGATGAGCCCCTGGTCTAATGCGCCACCTGGCTTGAGAAACCCGTTAAGACTTATTATTTGGGAAGCACACATATTCTGAATGCCTTCGGCAGAATTCAAATGAGCTTTTTTAATCTTAAAAATATTTCAAAGATGATTCCTTGAATTTACTTAATTTTTTTAAGTTAATGGGTTGTGAACAGTTTGTTAATGTTGAATTTAAACAAATAAATTAAGTTGAGCATCACTAAATTTAATTTGTTTGTTTAAATTCAACACAAAAAAATTGTTTGCAACAATTTTGCAGACATTTTTTTCAGTGTAGATTAATTCCAAGATTACAGTGAGATTAATCTAGATTATTATTATTTTTTATTTATGCCCACTTATCTATTTGCCTACACATTCTGTTAATATTCAGAAGCATAAATAAGCACATTTCTGTTTAGTGTCCTGCAGATTTAAAGGTTATGTGAAATTAAAATTGTTTAGATGTTCGTTTAGTATGTTTCAGAAGGGTTTCTATAAGCGAGTGTCCTATAAAACAGAGACAAAATTCACATCTAGAAGGAATAAACACATTATATAACTGAATGCTTTCACTGCTAATAAAAACATCAAGATTTGAGCAAATCAGCACAGTTAATTCTGTTTGTTGATATATTTAGAGTGACTTACACTGGAGGAACTGCTCACGCGTCTGTGGTTCAGGAGCGGGAATGATGCTAATGAATCTCACTGTGAAGACAAACACATGCATAATCGTAATTTATTTTTATAATTTAATAATCATTGTGCAATACATGATTTATTATGATAGACATTAGGAAATGTAAAGCTTACCTTTGTCAGATATGGTCTTCATCTCCTCAGTGCAGAACTGCTGCAGTTTGTCGCTAAGACGAGACACAGATTCAGTAACTTTATTAAAAGAGAGCTGTGAGCTGATAAAAAAGCTGGATGAGTCTGTAGATCCAGGAGGGACAGAGAGAGACTGGAAACTCTACACAGACACAACAGAAACAGCAGCTGAAGACACACAAACACAATCTCTGCTCCACATGCTCTTCCACTGTCCTGTGTGTCACCTGGAGGAAATGGATGTGATCTTCTGTGTGTGAAAGCTGCTCCAGCTCAGCGTTTCTCCTCCTCAGATCATTGATCTCCTGCTCCAGTCGCTCCAGTCGTTCTTCAGCTCCACTCACTGCAGTCTTTTCTCCATCTCTGATCATCTGCGTGAGCTCCGAGCGGCTTCTCTCAATCCAGCAGATGAGCTGAGTGAAGATCCTCTCGGTGTGGTCCACTGCGGCCTGTGCAGAGTGCTGTCAGACACACACGCACGCACGCACGCACACGCACACACACACACACACACGCACACACACACACACACAGAAGCATTGGAGTGTGAAAGGCCTCTTCAGCGGCTGTTCTTCTGCTCAAACTCACCTTGTGAGACTCCACAGCCTCTCTCAGCTCCTCCAGCTCCTTCTGTCTCTCCTGGAGTCTCTGCTGGAATCTGCTCTGGGTTTTCTTTAGCCGACACTGAAGGATTTAAAGCAAAGTACAATATATGAAATTAGACCAATAATTAACAACGCAATCAAACTACCAACAGAGAAATATAAAATAAGTTGCTGTTAATTATCTCTATAAAAAGATTATAAGTGTATTTTATTGTAATTTATGCATCAATTCTGTCATTAATGGTGCTTTAAGGAATTGTGTGGAGCTAAACATCTCGCTACTTGATAGAAATCTGAAAGATCTTATATAAACCATTTTAAAAGTATAAATAATCTATTTAAAGTAGTTTAAGTGAGCAGTAATTACATTTTAAAACTTGGCTAATTCTGGTTTCTCTTCTTTGCTAGCATGAATAAAACACTGTTTGCTAGAATGAGTGAAGGTAGTCGAGTCCTGTGTGTCTATAAGATGTTCTGAGCTAGAGATATTGAGCTTTTTAAATGGTTGCTAGGGTAGACTGTTTTGTTGCTAGGGAGTGATTTGGCATAGCAAGCTCTGTGTCTGTATGTCATTCAGATTTAAAGAAGTGCTTCAGGTCTGGATTGGTAGGCTGGTGTAAATGAACGGCTCTCCAGGGTGATGTTGAAAGAGTTCTTGATCATCTGAGTCCAAACAGCAACTCTCAGGTGTCTTCAATGCTGATCCACTGATATTCATATCATTCCTTCCCCATTCTTTCCCTATGTCTAAGCTAAAGCTGCTTGCTAAGCTGTAGCTAGAACGTTTAAAGGTCAGTTTTATATTGCAGATGGTTAGACTGAGTGAATTGAGCAGAACTATTAGTGAATGAAAACATCCAGCTGAGGTTTAAATTTAAAGATGCACCGTGTTTAAAACTAATTATTCTTTAGCGAAATAATTGACTCAGAGTTGAATAAATTAATAGAGTTGGGTTTGGATCTTTTGTTTGATCGCATCAACGTCAATACGGTACATCACCAAATATGTACTTCCAGTTCCAAGGGTGCAATTCTGGTCTGAGAGGTGGGGGGGACCAAATCTGAGTGATGGTGATACTGTTGTGGAATGTTGGTGATAGTTTTAGAAATGTGCAGCAATGTTGAGCAATTGTGTGCAGAAAAGCCTACATTTGAAAAATAACTTTTTTTCAACTCTCGAGGGAAAATTATAGCATGAAGTAAAGTGCTATATCTAAAAAAAGTGAGGGGGACATGTCCCCCCTGTTCCCCCCGGGAATTGCGCCACTGTCCAGTTCTGTTAAAACGTGAACATGCTTTTCCTCCACACACTAGCGGAGGCGCGAGGGATCACGGGACTGATCATGACGCAAAGATGACGATCACTGACAGAGATTCGGCTGCGAGCAGGGCTGGATCAAACTAAACAGGCGCTCTAGGCAAAAGATGATCATGCCGCTCTCAAACCGAAAGCGAAAACGGGAGACAAGGGTGTGATTGCGCGTATGATAGTGAGAACAGGGGCGGTGGGGGGATTGCCGCAGACGAAAGTGAAATGTCGCGGATGTTGCCTTCTCTATTCTGCCGCGCTAGGCAGCCGCCTGGGTCACCTATATGGGCGTGCAGGCCTTGGCTGCGGGGAATAGAGGGTTAAAGTTCATTTTTATAACAACACCACAGTATAGCCAACTTACTGCTGTGTGTGATCCTGTCATTTTTCAGATTTTTGATACGATAACCTACACTGCAGCGTGAGATTCACCAGCCGTTCGCTATTGAAGGAGCAGCAGAGACTATGGGACTTAGTCAGTAACTGTTACAGTTCATATTGACCAGTTTCTTCTTCCTCCGGATCATAATGTAACCCTTATCTATGTGTTATTGATGCGTTTTCTATTGCGTTATTTTTACAGTATTTGCCATTTTCTTATTAGGACCAGATATCAGAAGATTTTACTTCGCTCACAAGAGTGTATAGAAATAACAACCAATTTTAGATAGTCAAATAAGTCAGACTCAAAGATAAAGTTAAATAACTGAGGTACTGTAAGTATATTGTTTGAGCAAGTTGGATTGAAGAAAACAAAATAAAACAAATAAATAAATGTCAAAACAGTTCAGTTTGACGAATACTAGAATAAAACAATCAAATATATAATGAAATCACCCACACTTTAGATGATAAACTCACTTCAGACAAATTCAGTTTCACAAATCATATACAATGGGGAAGAAAAATTAAAAAACGAAGGAAAAATTTGAATAAAAGTAGTAATTCAGAGTCCAAGTTCAATGTTCAACACTCAAAAGTTGTTTATAGTTCCAGTTCGATGTAAAAAATCCAAAAAATCAGTCCAGATAGAGAAAAATCCAAAAAAATGAATAAAAACAAAAATATGAACGCAGTGTAAGTGCAAGAATGTTTTGTCCTACCAGTTCAGTGAGCAACGGATTATTTTACTTCCAGTTACTATCTTTCAGAAGGGCGGCTCGCCATATCCGGACCACCGAGAAAGCATCCACGGCAGGGACAGATCGGGATTTTGTAGCAGAAACACGAAAGAGGAACACACGCACACACACACAAAAACCCGGCCAAGGAAAGATAAAGATGAACAGGGAGAATAAAGAAGAATGTGTCTCGATTAAATATAAGTTTTCTGTTGTCTTGGACGGTTTAATGTACTCTACTCGCACTTCTCTCATTTCAATCACTTGTTGTCAGCTTCCTATCCCTAAAATCTGAAACTTTAGGGCTTTCTTTCAGTCAATCACCGAAACAATATAATTTTTAGATAATTTGGATTATCTAAACTGCTGTTTCAAGGTGTCTAATATCGTTCAATCTGCTCGCGCTGATTAATCAAAGTGACTCTCCGTCACGGCAGGTCTCTCACACACGCAAGGGGGCGGAGCTAACCTCCGACCTCCACCAAGTCAAAACTTACTTTATTCTCTATTTATTATTAATATTTAAACACTATGTATATAATATAAATGAACTTTATTTAATATTTCTCCTCTCAATCATAAAATAAAATGTTAGAATTTAAAATAAACTATTTATAATTTGTTTTAGTGACCTAGTCAGTGAGCTGGGTTACAATAACATGTAAGTGTGATTAAAATTCTTGCCTGATTTTGTGTAGTTTGTGTTTAAATGTGTGTTGTAACTCGCTCAGTGTGGCTTGTAGTCACGTATAGATTATAGATCAGTGCTTGTACTTTGTCTCTCAGGTTAAATCTGTAAGAGGCTGTTCACATATTGAGTCCAAAACCACAATAAAAACGTGACATGTGCGTCTTCCTTTACTGATTTAAATGCGTTTCTGAACTGGTGATCCTCTGCTGTTTGCCTTTGCTATGGCCACCATCAGCCATTCCTACACACACATGGTCAATTTTTAAAATAGTTCAACTTTTGCTAATGTGAATTAATACTGAATGTGTGTCGCTGTTGATACTTGGGGTTAGGTTTAAGAGCAGAGCAACATGCTGGTCGTTAACTGCATTGATTTACTGCACTCCTGCATTGGGCTCTCATATACTCTCTCTGGCTGCTGTTTCAAAGCCATGATGGGTTTCCTCTCCGTCTCGTGCTGAACCCAGTCGACCAATTGCAACAGACTGGGTCATCGGTCCAATAAGCGCAGATTAACTTCGCACTAGGGAGGGGTATGGGAACAAATGAATCACTAGACAATTCAAATGGGGAGCCGCTGGAATAATTATTCATTCATTCATTTTCTTGTCGGCTTAGTCCCTTTATTAATCCGGGGTCGCCACAGCGGAATGAACCACCAACTTATCCAGCACGTTTTTACGCAGCGAATGCCCCTCCAGCCGCAACCTATCTCTGGGAAACATCCACACACACTCATTTACACACACTAACACACACACTCATACACTATGGACAATTTAGCCTACCCAATTCACCTGTACCACATGTCTTTGGACTGTGGGAGAAACCGGAGCACCCGGAGGAATCCCATGCGAATGTATTCGGTAAAAACAAATGCATATTATAAGACAATGGAAAGTGTTTCTGAACCTTGCACACATATCAGCCTGCTGTTGAAGACCCCTAAAACCAAATTGTGACCTTTTTTGATGCAAAATAATTGACCTTAAATTGACAGTAAATTTCTGGCTAATAATGGCATTACTTTCACTGTAAAATACTGTGTGTAAATTCACAGCAAATTACTGTGAGGTAGTTCACAGTAATTTACTGTGATTTTGTTACATTAAATTTCTGTGAAATTACAACCTGTGGAATTACAGCATTACTTCACAGTAGACATAGATATATACACTAGATATCGCATAGGGACCCTGAGCATGCATCAATAGCGCCGCCATATTGGTACAGTGCTCCCAGGACAAATGTCATTCAACCGCACTAGTCAAGACAGTGTTATTACGTGAAAAGACTTTAGCTCTGTCTTTGGGTGTAGTAACGAGCAAACAAAGAAAACAAAGCACAAAGGCAGAACATTTCATAGGTAACATTAAGTTTTTTCTGTTTTTGTATGTTCTGAACTTTTGTGTTAATCAGGTAACGTTATTGATGATAACAGTCACTTACTGCATTCACCATACGGCAAAGCAGCTCCAACTCGCACTAAACACTCGGCTTATGCTAGTTTTGTTGAATAAAATCAGCAAACAATGCAAAAGAAACATGACAACGAGATGCTGCGCTGCCAGAAACTTGTATTATTGTCGGCTAGTGAACGAGTCGTTCCTAACGGCGATTCATTCACAAACGAATCGCTCCCTCCGTCAGTATGAGAAGTGAAAGCAGGAGAGGAGCTGTGTTTCAGGACATGATTAGATCAAATTTAACAGGCAGGGTGAATAGTACATTTCTCTACACACAAACACAAGCTTTTTGTCAGGAATGCCCGTGCGGTCACTGATCCATCAATGTAGAAAAGTGATGTAAAATTATAAGTTTTGTAATTAGAAAAAAATAAATGCATACTAACATCCGGGAAAACATAGATATATGTGTATATGTGTAATTCTCTGGCTCTGGATGGCCACAGTCCTCCACTGCTGCTTGGTCCCGCATTCATTTTATTGGAGCGCTACCCTGTACTAAAATGGCGGCTCTATTGACGCATTCCTTCCAATAGACAACAACAGGGTTGGCGACATCTAATGTATATATCTATGCACAGTAGAGAGTAAAGTCCATTACTGTGACTTTACAGTATTATCTTGTAGAATTATCTATGTTTTACTGTGTGTGGCTTTCCTCAGCTAGTCATTCTGACATTTACCCTGACTTCAAATCATTTGGATATTCAATAGTGTTTGGTTTTATGAATCAATTACATTTGTTCCAGTTTATTACATTTTTGGCTAAGCACAAAGTTAAGTTATATTTCCATATTAACCTTATAGATTTAAATAAAGGTCCAGTGCACCCAAAAATGAAAATTTACTATGACACATTCACATACCTGTGGCTTTCAGACTGGTTTATCTGGATGAGGAGCGTTATGCAATTGAAGTCTAAGACAACAAGAATGTGGCCCTTCAGGAAATGAGCCAGATGTATTTGAAGGGACATTTATTATTTATTATTGGGGTCAAGTGTGTTCTTACCTGTTTTTTAGTCCTCTGTGCTGCAGCTGAAACAGTGTCATGGTTTTTATGTCCATCGAGCACACACAAAGAACATATACAGCAGTGATCAGTGCGGCAGAAGATCTCCAGGAGTTTCTTGTGTTGTTGGCAGATCATCTCCTTCAATCTGTGAGTGGCTTCAATCACTTTGTGTTGATTTCCTGGATTCAGTTCTTGATGGAGCTGGAAATGAGTGTGACAGTAAGAGTTCAGACATACCAGACAGGACTTGACGGCTCTGTTTTTGGCTCCAGTACAGACGTCACACTCCACATCTCCAGATGCAGCGGGACTCTGAGCAGGACCAGCAGCTTGTAGTTTGCTCTTCTGCAGTTTCTCCAGCACTTCAGCCAGCATGGTGTTTTTAGCTAAAGCGGGTCTGGGGCTGAAGGTCTGTCTGCACTGAGGGCAGCTGTAGACTCTCTTCTGATCCTCCTGATTCCAGCAGTCTGTGATGCAGCTCATACAGTAACTGTGTCCACAGGGAATGGAGACTGGATCCTTCAGGAGATCCAGACACTCCGAACAGCTGAACTTACAATGAGCCAAAGAAACACTGGATTCTGCCATTATACAGCTCAAACTCACAGACAGAGAGAGACACCGACACAACACACCCAACACTGATTATTGCTTTCGCTTTTCGGGATTACTCTAACTCTGACACTCCCTCCCTGTGTGCGTTATAACAAACTCCGCCACTAGAGGACAGTCTAATGCAGAAATAAACCCACAACAGTGCAAAATGAATATATATATACAAGTTATATTACGTTTTAAAATGCTTAGTCAAGCTCATATGAATTTTAGGTGATCACTTTCTGCTCATTAAACTCATCCATTCATTGATATGCAGATAATTTAATAAGTAAAAAAATAAAGTGCAACATTCTAGTCAGTGTGAAGGAATTAATAGACTTGGCAACATCCAAACTGCGTGAGAGGAAGACCAATCAAAGGCCGTGTTTCTGCTTGAAGCGGCGCTGTGCAAACCGATTGGTGGAGAATGACATCAAAGCACCGCCAGAGGTTCTATTAAGAATGTGGCGCGGTGCTTTGATGTCACCGAACCACACCTACACAACAGTGTTCCCACCCTGCACCGCGTGTTGAGTTGATGCATTTCAGCATTTTAGGACGAGAAGTTTAGAGAGAATTACAGTAAGTGTGTTTTCAGTGATGTCTGCATTGAGCTGATTACAGTTTCATATCAAGATGAATAAGAGGTAAAGGGTAAACCTAAAATGGTCACAACATGTTTGTAGCTATTGAACTGTCTGTGGTTGTTTTGATGTTGCCATGTTTTGCATGTGGTTGTCAGTTGTTTTATGCGTAAATAACACCAGTGGTGTAAAGTAACTAATTACAAATACTTAAATTACTCTAATTGAGTAGTTTTTCTCAGGAATAGTAATTTAGTAAGTAGTTTTAAAAATATGTACTTTTACTTTCCTTTGAGTGCATTTTTAGTTCAATAATCAGTACTTTTACTCCACTACTTCAACCTTCAGTCACTACTTTATTTTTTCTTGTCTATGGGGATTAGAAAAATCAGTCCTGTGATTCCTGTCCAATCAAATCACACATAGAAGGTAAATCGCGTCATAATGAACTACCTCAAAATAGGGTTGATCAAAAAATATATTAATGCAATTCAAATATATTATATGAATTGATGTTTACTTTAAACTTATTATAATATATCATTATACTGTTCAATTATAATGATTAAAATATATATTTTTTGTCAAATAATTTTGTGGCTAAAAAGTATCGGTTCAGGTACCGTTTTAAAAGCATCAATTTAGCACTGGTATTGAAATAACCCCAAATGATATTCAACCCTACCTCAAAACATGTGCGCTTTATAACTGCAGCAAACTGTTTGGAAGCATTAAAAGTGTACAAGGTGTCCAAAATCTTTACATGCATCGACCCAGAGACTGTTAAGATGCAGGTCACTGATGAGAAGATGACAGATGTTTACTGTATGATGATCGAAATGGCCTTAAACTGGCCAGCAGGCACAAGATGTCAACATGACGTCAGAATGAAGTTGTACCCCAGTGTCATAGGGATGTTGCATTTTGTTTTACCATGAAAATCATGGAAGTGTCAGCATGTGATGCAAAAATGACGTTGGAAGTTTGCTCGACATTGGATTTTGGTCACTTTCCAACACAACCTAAAGTCAACCAAATATCAATGTCATTTGATGTTGTTATTGAACAAATAACGTTGTGCTTAGATGCTGGCTAGACAATCTAACCTAATGTTAATGATGTTGTGTGCCTGCTGGGCAATAACTAAATGTACTACAGAATGTTACGTTTACACACACATGCACAAATTACATGTAAACACAACAGCTTTTAAAAGCGTAATACTCACTACTCTTGAGAACATTTGAAAGGTCTACTTTTTACTCATACTTTGAGTAATATTTACAACAGATACCTTTACTCTACTTACACTACATTTTTAGGCAAGTAATGATACTTTTACGGTAGTATGATTTTTCAGTACTCTTTCCACCACTGAAAAACACTAAATGTATAGTCGCTGATACAGAGAAAGAAACACAAGATACAAAGAAACCTAAAGTGCAGCTTTTTGCCAGTGTTAATACAGACAGAGGATCAGCAAATAAATAATAATAATAAACTAAAAACTGCGCAGGGTTTCCTTTTTTAGGCAAATAAAGTGAACTTGTAAAACCTATTTCTTTAAATACTAGTTAGTTTGGTTTGCTAAAGGCTACAGGTTGCGGGTCAAGATAACAGCCTCACTCCAGAGAATGGTCTAAATTTTCATTTATTGATTGGCCTCGTCTTGAGTGTGTGGTTCTAAAATGAATACAAATATAGAATTGATATATATACAGAAAAAGCTTAACATGAATTATAAGTATGAACTGAAGCAAACATATTGTAAATTATATTATAATTAATTATAAACAAGGAAATGCAGTGGCTCAGTAGGAAGTTGCTATCACCTCACAGCAAGGTCGCTGGTTCGAATCTCGGCTCAGTTGGCTTTTCTGTGTGGAGTTTGCATGTTCTCCCTGTGTCTGCGTCGGTTTTCTCCGGGTGCTCCGGTTTCCCCCACAGTCCAAAGACATGCGGTACAGCTGAATTGGTGTGTGTATGAATGAGTGTGTTTCCCAGAGATGGGTTGTGGCTTGAAGAGCATCCGCTGCATAAAAACTTGCTGGATAAGTTGGCTGTTCATTCCGCTGTGGCGACCCCGGATTAATAAAGGGACTAAGCCGACAAAAAATTTTTAAAGTAGTGGTTTTAATGTTTAGAGTAAATCACAAAAATTGCATCAACAGCAAGACTGATATTTTGAGAACATTTCCCACAATATTGCATTCATAGAATCTGTATCATCTACACTGTCAGATCACAGAGCTTCACTTTTGAAGTGTTAGAAACCAAGAATCCAGGATAGAGTGTGTGTGTGAATGTGGTGTGGAGTGTGTGTATGAGGCTCATTGTTGTGTCAGAGACGCTGTAGAAGGACAAAGTTCCTGCACTGTGATCCACATACACTCCTATTCTAGGGCAGCTGTCGGTGGATTCAGAGAATTCAGTACTTACAGAATTGTAACAGAATGATAAGCTGTAAGCAGAGCACTCCAAACTCCAGGACTGATCATTGCACCCAAACATACATTCAAAACCTTGTCCCTTCCTCTTGATGCTCTTATACGACACTGATATAAACACACCATCATCTCCGCTCCACTCCAGCTCCCAGTAAGAGCGTCTACACACACTCTCTCTACACAACACCTGAGGGCGAAAAGTAAATCTGTCTGGATGACCAGGATACGGCTGGACTGAATCTTTATTTTCCACCACTGTGTTTCCTTTAGACAGAACCAGCCTTTTATTCACTGTGTTTGGATCCAAAGTGAACTTTTGGAAATCTGATGAAGAAATGAAGTAAAATAAAGTGATACATGACATTTATCTATCCAGGAAAGGTATTACATTGATTTTTGTACAGTATAAAAGTAACAATAAAATGAATAGTAGTAGAATTGACAGTAGACTACCAGAGCTCCAGACAGCGACTAAATGGATGTTTTGCAACCTTTTTTATGCCTGTATGTGTACAGTATGTAGAGGTGTAGGGGCTTGAAGAAAAAAGGTTTGGTAGCAAGGTTCTTGCTATCTTGAACACAATTACTATTAAATTACTGTTTATTTCTTTACATTTTAACTTTGTAAACTATAAAATCATGCGTGTCCTCACGGTTGGTGTCTCATTTTGTGAGCCGACTGACAACAGTTGTTCGCTCCCCTCCTTCTCCCCTGCTCTGCTGGCCACGCCCACTCCTGCCCTTTGCTCGCGGAGCTCCACCCCCATTATCATGCATCTTTTAAAAAAAATTCTGAGGTAGACCTGAACCGAAAGTGGGGGGGGGTGTCATGACCCTTTAAGAATTTTGGGATCATAATTTTTATCACAGTAGAGCTGCACGATTCTGGCTAAAATGAGAATTGCGATTTTTAAAAAAAAATTTTTTGCTTAAAATAAAGATCACGATTCTCTCACGATTCTGTAGATGTAAAATAAAGCTTAATATTAAATTATTGTTTTTTTACTCAAACATATGGTAAAACAACAATATTATTATTATGTGTAGTTCTAATGGTTTCTATAAATAATTCTACTTATAATAATTCTGATGTTGAATTATTTTTGCGATATAGGCCTATGCTTGCAATGTCATTGAGAACATTATTAGACCATTTAATTCAATATATAGACTAGAGTAGCTATACTGACACTGTAAACATTATTTTATATATAGAAAAAACAGATCAAATGCTTGTCGCAGTCATAACTCTAAAATGCGATATGATCATTTAAATGAAGTGCACACTTTCGGTTTCATTTTGACTGCTAAGTGCTGTTCATACTTTGCGCGCGGCTCTCAAACGATGTAACACTCTGTGTCACAAACAGAATATTATTTACAACTGTATTACCTGTTACTCGCAACATATGCAGGTTCTGTTCACTGAAGTAGACGCGCACACGTCTATCATTAAGCAGGGCGCACGCCCGCACAGTCAGCAGCTCGCGTCACATGTGATTTCCCCTCCGCGATTACATCATTATATGAAGACAAAAATGACATTTTTACGTGAATTATACCTTCTAAATACAGAATGTGACTCTTTTAACATCATTTGGAGATGTCCATGTCACTGAGCAACGTGTGAGAAACAATGAAAACACTCGTGCAGCCACCTGAACTTGAAAATATGATTGGCAGAATCATAGAAATGCTGGATTAAGATCGTCTAGGGCAGTGGTCACCAAACTTGTTCCTGGAGGGCCGGTGTCCTGCAGATTTTAGCTCCAACTCTAATCAAACACACCTGAACAAGCTAATCAAGGTCTTACTAGGTATACTTGAATCATCCAGGCTGGTGTGTTGAGGCAAGTTGGAGCTACACCCTGCAGGGACACCGGCCCTCCAGGACCGAGATTGGTGATCCCTGGTCTAGGGGGTCGAATCTAGATTGCGATCTTTTTTCGATTAATTGTGCAGCTCTATATTACCGTATATAAAATACTTAAATAAAAACACTTGCTTCAATTTAATATGATTCAGACATCAAA